CGTGGAAGCGAGGCATGAAGAAATGCACAGAGCGATTAGGTAGAATCGGTGTCTCCCGTCTTCCAGGTTGGGGTCTGAAAGACTCTACAACTGGTTGGCTGGGGACAATAAAGGATATGACGACTGACCGACAGCAGTGGCGCCCTTGTTGTCACTTCTTAACCAGGCAGAATGCTTGAAAAAAGGTATGCATGAACACTTGGATTATGTGCTCTGTGTGTTGAACATGGAGGTTATTTTTCTTTGTCTCCCTCCAAGTAGGCCCAATCCCTCTCCATATTATGCTTATCACTTGATTTGTGTACATTGTGAGCTTGGCAGCTATCAGTGAAGCTCGCTTCACTGTATCTCGCTGTAGGTTGATGATGATGATGATTTTGACTAGATAATCAAATTTGAAAGATAGTAGGACAGGTGCACAAACTTCACCGTCCAATATACAGTTGAGCGCGATCAAACCTTCATCAATTCGACTCCTGTTCAAGCTGTTGAGCAGTACCAAATTCCATTTGTGTATGAAATTCGTTCTCCTCGTCTGGATTGGTTTAGAATTCGTTTTTTCAGATTCCCTTCGGTAAACTACCAGATTGTCAGCAACTTTGTTATAACCTCAGATGCTAGCTTTTTGTGCCTTCACTTTAAGGGTGAAAGCAGCTCTATCACGTAAAGCCAACAAGTGTGGCTTAAACAGCGGAGGCTATTTAAAACTCTTGATTATATATAAGCATTTTCTCCCAGATACAAATGATGGGTTACCGATCACAACTCAGGACACCTACTGGCGACCGTACCGAGAATTTCGAAGCTCCTTTGTTTCTTCAGCATTTTTCGCAATATATCTGTATAAAATGTCAGCAAATTGTTTGCGGAAGTGTACCAAACGCATACGGACGTCAGAAAACGTCTTGATTGTATTATCAATGAAACGCAGTTCAAAAACAAATTAATTATGAAGAAAAGAAATAAAAGCAGTAAGTTCTTTTTTCGTAGCAACTGAGCGTATAATCGAACTTTGATCAACAACAATTCTCCACGAAACTCAGACCGGAGATCTAACCCGATTATAGTAGATGAAATGCTTCTGAAATTCCTATCACTAAATCTTGATAAGCCAGATTTGTCCCTGACGCAGACAACATACTGTAGGACAGTAAGTATAGCATGAACTGCTAGGGTTTGGCGAAGTAAATTCGATCTTTTTAAGTCTTTCGTGTATTTTTGCATCTTTCATTCAGTTGCCGGATCTTGTTAACCAAAACACTTAAGACTAAAGGAATCTAGTTCCTTAGATCTGGCTGTACGTGATTTTTTACATCTGTTGTTATCCATGTCGTTTCGTTTAGAAACCCAGCAGTGTGAGCTATAAACAAGGTGCGTCCTGGCAAACGAGTTGTACACATGTAAAACTCGCATCCCTCTTGGCCTAATCTATGTCTTGTAAGCCATGATTTTTCACATATGAGCTAACACATTATGTCGATTTCCTGCTTTTTTTTATACCAACTCAGGAATTCATGCTTCGCGGTTTGGGAGCGGAAATTATACGCACACGTACCTCGGCCAACTTTGATGATGAAGATTCACACGTGCGTATCGCTGAAAGACTTAAGCAAGAAATTGGTCCGACAGCACATATTTTGAATCAGTACATTAACCCGTACAACCCAATAGAGCATTACGATCAGACTGCGGAAGAAATTCTGCGTGACTGTACCGAACCTGACGGTCACATTCGGTTGAATGTATTAGTTGCTGGGGCTGGGACCGGCGGCACCATAACTGGCTTATCTCGGAAAATCAAAACTAGACTACCCACATGCCAGGTGAGCGGGCGCCCTTCAGATTCACTGTGAAATACAAGAGCAGGTTTCGCTATATATTCTTCCAGCCAACTAAGCTTTTCATTCGTCGCCATTCTAAAGTTATTTGGTGCTACATCTATGAAGGTCGATATATTTGTAGTCTAACGCTACAGTGTGACTGAGCTTCAAGTTTCAGGCTTTCATATCTCGGCCGCGTTGAACTGTAATCTCACGACTTTCCTTATCGGCAGATATCGTAAGCAAACAGACTATCCGGTGGTTTGAATCATTTTTTACTGCTGTGCCTCTGCGTGTGAAATCCAACATTCGAATCCTCCCAACACTACACTGAGTTGGTAATAAAAGTTGTATGCAAGAACTCTATTTGGCTTTTAGCGACTGCCCCAACTCCTCGTTTGATAATTCCGTAACAGAACAATGGCCCCCAAAAACCACTAAGTTTAGTTCTTCTTTTGTTAAAGCATCAAAGATATTCACAACAAATGCATCATCTCACAAAACCTGTGAAAATACAGTTTCACGTTTTGATCAGCAAGTTATTGATTTAACATTGCCAGTGGCTCATCGATTTTCCCAAGCGTATCGAGATGACTTTGTTATCGACGAACAGATCAACTTAATATGTTTTCTGAAGATTGTGGTTTGTGATGATGTAGATGTGATGATTTTGAGCAGTATAATTGCTCAACCTTTCTGATCTTTATTTTGTTTCGATCGTTTGCGGGACCTGTTCAGAGGATCGCAATGATTGGTAGTTAACAGACGCTGTTTGTTTGCTCTCGTTCTCCTCTGTTATTTATGTACTTGTACCGAAACACCGCACGGTTTTCTCCTGAACACCATCAGATCGTAGGTGTCGATCCGGAGGGCTCAATTCTGGCCGACTTGACCGCTGACAACCCACAACCTTACGATGTCGAGGGTATTGGGTATGATTTCATCCCAACGGTACTGGATCGTTCGGGCGTGGATAAATGGTACAAAACTATAGATCCAGAGTCATTGCTAATGGCTCGACGTATTCTTCGCGAGGAGGGTCTGCTGTGCGGTAGGTTTTTGGTTTTAAAAATGTCTTTCGTATGTCCAAGCACAGCCCAGCATGCACAAGCCTGAATCACTCGAAACCAAGTGGTTCGTAAACATTTTATTTTTTGCAATGATCTCATCTCAGTAAAATTTTTCCACTTTTGTGCCCATTATCTTTGCTTGACAATGCATACCTGTTTCAAAAAATGAATTTACATCTGGTATTTCCCACTATTGCTTGGGCGCTTTGTATGCGTAGTATTCGTATTCGGGATACACGCTGTCTTTTGAGAATAATTGCCGTTTGTATTTTATGCTTTCTTATTGAGTGTTAGTGCTGCCCCTGAAGCTCTTTCAAAGAACCATGGGCCCAAATTCTTTCATTTAATTTTTGTTTATTTCTTTAGGAGGAAGTAGTGGGGCAGCTCTGGTTGCCGCTCTACAAGCTGCCCATGATTTCAGTTTGGGCAAAGATGATCGACTTGTGGTCATTCTTCCGGATTCTATACGGAACTATATGTGAGTTTATCTGTGCAGACGTGATTTGGTGATGGGGATTAAGTGTATAGCATGTTTTTTTCAGTTCTGTATTTGTCTAAGGTGGTGCTCAATGTAACTTCCTCTAACTCATGTGAAATAAGGGGCACCCTGAGAGTCCGTTTGTTTACGTGCCAAACGTAATCTGTAAAAATACAACTAACTTACAACCAGCGTTTTGAGCTTAGAAATATTGATCGAACATGTGCGACATGCTTGTGTATTGTGTATTATATTGTGTATAACTTTTGCAAGCACTGGAGCTCACACTTCAGTTAAAAAGCTTACACGCTAACCGCCACAATGTACATAACCAACGGGGAGAAAAGTTTTCGCAGGCATGGAGACATTCATAATCCAAGGTTAAGACAAAGTTCACTCATTGTTCGCTCTTTGTTTGTGAGTAGACGAGCAAGATACGGTATGGGTGAATTGCGGTATGCATTAATTCGAGATGAAATTTGACGAATTTGGGAGCGTGTTGAATGATGGGAATGACAAAGTGTCAGTTCTGCATACAATGGGTGGTCCGGATCTGTGAGGATCCTCTCGGCAAATTTCACACAGGAAGTTACGTGATACTCGGAAAGCTTTACAGCTAATTCATTCACAGGAATGGAAGAGATACGACTAATAATGGTTAGACCGCGTCGTAAGACTTTGAAGTCCTGTTTGAGTAAACCAGGAAAAATAACCGGGGAGCAGTAGAGTAGGATGGGGAAAACACATTGATAAACAAAAGTAGAAATAACTGACTGGGATGCGCGAAACTGCCTGAGCTTTCGTATTTGAAATGAAAGGCGTCGCAGTTTACCAATGCAGTTGTGGATGTGGGTTGACCAATCTATCTATCTATGGTTACACTAAGATATTTGACAGAGTTCATCCTGGATAAAGGATTGTTATTAATCACTGTGGGGTCTGTCGGATATGGAGAGCGAGCAAAACTATATAAACACTCAACATTTACTGGGGTTCAGGGTTAGCCCCGATGAGGAGGAGAATGACTGAATTTGATCAAGATTATCGGTAAAAGAACTTAGATCAGAGTAAGAAGAAATGGGTTGGCACAACACGACATCATCTGCATATTTCAAAATTCGTGCGGGAGATTTTGCTATATATTTCAATTTCCAACATCATACTTGTAGATTATATTGCAAACTACTCACGTGAAATCTATCACCTTGAAGGAAGTGAAAATATGCCCCAAGAAACGCGAAAATCGATCTTCAGTAGTTGACCCAGAGGCGTGTGATTCGTTGAGTTAGCGTTTTGTGATGTCATCATGACCCAAATTTTCTTAATACTTGTGAGAAGCCGACAGGCGCATAAATCGGACGTCTCAGTTCCTGATTTGTGCAATTTCTTCGATGTAAGCATGGGCATAAGAAGGAGGACGCACAGGTTATCAACAGAATGGAAGTATTATTCATATGCTGTGCATATGAGTAACTTTTGAAATAAATATTTATGATTTTTTCTACTGAGGTTTCATTTTCTTGTAACTTGAGCATCACCGACCGTTGCCGAAATTGAGTAATCGTACTTTTACCAGGCATTCAGCAAATGGATGCAACAGCTTAAATGAGTGCTATTGTCTTTGGTGTGGGGTAGTACCGTATTCATTCTTATGAATGACGATCAGGACGTTGCATGTTCAAAGAAAAAATCTGGCGAATGTCGGGATGTATCGCGAGTTCCATCGGTACTTGTATTCAAAGCACTCAGCTCTGCACGGACCATTCCTTAATCTAGGATGGCATCATTCGATCTATATGTGCATTGTTAATGAGCGCAGCCTCGCCGACATGGACAATGTGAGCCTTTTGGTAAACTGAGGGTAAATTACCCCAGGTGGTTTGATTTTGATATTCGAGCTGTGGTGAACAGACAACAATTATCTGACCACGAGAACACAAATCTTTGCATTTTCCTCCTTCACCGTTAAAGCTAACTCCAAAATGCACTTTGTTTGGCCGCAACCATCTTACATGTTTGTTCTCATTCTCAGCTAGAAATGTTAACTTTCTTCAGGATGCTCGTTGCGTATTTTCACGTATCCTGCGGTAGAACAGTCTTTGATTGCACCTGAGGTTCACTCTGTTTTTTGGATGCATAAACAGATAGAAAAACAATCGTTTCTTTGGAAGTGACGTTTGCTTACTTCGCCGGCACCTAAGCTCTCTGTAACTAACCGGCTATGTTGTTGGTGCAGGGATTTAGTCACTGTCACCGTTTTGGAGATTGGTGACACAATAACCAGCAAACCACAGCGGCCTTACTTTCATTTCGTAACGTATCGGACTGTTCGAAGAGGTAGATGAGTGATGAGTTGTGTATTCAATGTGTTTCATCACCTTGGTTCACTTCGTTTTCGATCACTCAGGCTGATACAATTCCTGTCTACCATTTTCCACGTTTCAAGCTTAACAAACAAAAACACTGTGCTGCTGTATTTTCTATCCAGTGATGATGGTGTGTCCACCTATTACCTTCTGACTGTTAATCACTGTAGGTTGAATATTGTAAGCCATACGTTCAAAGGTTTGGTGTGCTCTTATCGTGTCAGAAGGGGAAATCCGAAATTCAACTATGCAAGCTAAAACTGTGTTCTAAATGTACGATGAGCATCTTGAAATGCGGTAAGGCTCACGAACTGATTTGAAGAAATCGTTCATTTTTCATCAGTTCCTACAATAGCAGAACTATTGATCGGCGCATTTTCGCTTCTAGGTGTGTCGCATCTCTTGTTTTTTTGTCACTGTGATTCACTTCTGTTTTCTGTTCAATATGTGGATCTGTTCTCAGGACCAAATTCCTCTCAGACGGCTGGATGTACAACCGTGGATTCATAGACTTGCCCGCTGGAAAGGAATTTCGAAACAAGTAAGTTCAGTAAAGCACAACAGCACTCATACTCTTTTTATTCGACTCAGCCTTACTCTGGGCTCACACCAGTTAGATTGTCTGAGTGAGGCTAGATTGTCAGAAATATTTCCTTTGCTTGACCAAAGACACTTGTTTCTTGCTAACCGAATTTATCGGGCTTACGAATTAAATGTCTTCCGACTGATACGCACTTGATATGAAAAAGCCTGAGACAATTTTATTCCAGTCATCTTTGTTATATAGTTGTTCACATCTGAAATAGTTTGGGATATCTTATTTTCAACTGTTTGAAAAAGCCATTTGCACTTGTTTGGCTGAGTGTCGTGTCAATTCATTCATCTAATTAATTCCACTGACCTAATGATCTATTCAGTTGGATGCACAAATCCGTTGGTGAACTGCTTCGCACTCTTCCCAAGCCAGTCATCGTTACATCTGATCAGACAATCAAACAAGTAGTCACGGAACTCAATGAATGTGGTTCATCGCATGCAATCGTGCAGGTTTCCAATGTGGATAAGTGAGTTGGCCTCTCCCTGTATCTGTATTTGTGCTGAACGTGCTGACTCGCTGTTACCAATGTTTGCTTGGTTTGAAGATCTGATTTGTCCTGTTCAGGTTGTCCTCAGATTCTGAATGGTAATATACCTAACCGATAGAAAAAGAACGTTTCACACATCCCATGTGGGCAGTAATCAGAGATGTGAACCTATCGACGGAAACCATCCAGTGGACAAACTTTAGTTTACAAGCTGTCGAAAATGGGATACATTCAGACCCAATTTCAAACCAAAGCACGTTTTGATGGGCTTCACTCTTCGATTCATCGGCAACTGGCAAGAATCGCCTCAGTTGGCTCATCGTCTTCTGCGAACGTTATGAGAAGCTTGAGCAGAAACTAAAAGCACCGCAACATGGCGTATTAGATCAACAGTGGGATCAAATTTGATTTGCGATACACCCAACTGCAAACTTTGCTTGTGGAACGGATCCCAAAGTTCACGGAAGACGTTGGATCTCTCAGGAGTCAGTATTCCTGCTGGAACAAAAGCAAAAGATCCCGATTAGCCAAGATCAGCATAGGTACCGATGGCGCTTGCAAAGTCAGTTCAGGAAAAACATTAAGAAAGATCGTGAAAACTAGTGGATCAGTGAAGTTCGCTTCACTGTATTTCGCTCTACGATGATGATGATGATGATGATGTGGATCAAACTAGGTAGGGAAATGAAGGTTATGGTAACTTCTGCATCACAGATTAGTCAAATGCTGTTCAGGCCGAAGGCCTGATACGCATTGCCGGAGGTGGATGCATACCGGTTAGTGAGATCATTCACGATAAAAGTGGACAGAGTATCTGCGATAAAGAACAACGATTCGGTCGCTGGATAAAGTTATTTAGTGAACAGTTCAATTGGCATAGTACTCATGTGGTTATGCTGGTGATTGCAGCGGAACATCCATGGGTGGTAACTTGTGAGCCTCCAACAGCACTAGAAGTACGAAGTTGTATTCAACCGCCAAGAGAAGGAAGGTAGTGGGACCTAATGGACTTCTCCTCATTCT